TCTGTTGATTAAGGTATGTGAGATGGTGAGTGAGTGTGGTGTAGTTGTTTGTGTTCCTAAATGAATGTGGTTACGTTATATAGATTTGTGAGTTCTCGTTTGGAAGTTCAATATATGGAATGTTGTAAGTTGATATATGGTTTTGTTTGATGAATATTTTTTAAATTTCTTTAACTATTGTATTGTAGCAGTTAAGGATTTTTGTGTATTCATATTATTAATCAATTAATAGTAACTAATATCTTGTGGAGGTGAGGTGAGGTTTTGTTTAGTTGTTTGGTCGTTTGGTTGTTTGTTAGTTTATATAGGTTGATGCATTGTTTTGCTGGTGTCGGGTTATTTGCGGGTATAGTATGTGTTGGGTTTTGCATTGTTTACTCGTATGAGAAGAGATTTAATGAGGGTGAGATATATATTGGGGTTTTATATGGGTTGAGGGGTTCAGGCTGTGGTTGAGTCGGAGAGGAGAGTAGAGTAGATGAGTAAAGTGGTCGTGGTGAGGTTGTTGTTGTATATTGGTGGTTTGAGTTATTGCGGGTATCTGTTGTTAGTGATAGATAGATACGATAGATAGATACGATAGATAGATAGATAGATCAAGATAGATAGATAGATACGATAGTTTATATATAATAATAAATATATGCTTGCTGTGTATAAATATTTGTATTTTAAGTAATTAATCAAATATTAACTATATATATATATAGTGTTATATATAGATATATCTATATATAACTATATCTATAATATTTATATAATATTATATATATATATAACTATATATATATATATAGTGTTATATAGATATAACTATATTTATATAATATTAGTATTTAACTGGAAACAGTCGTGACGCTCCCTGTGCCCTCACGCGCCGTGGGACGGGTGCTCGCTCGTGCTCGCTGTTGCTGGCCCACGCGCTGAGATCACGTCGCTGACGTCACTCCCCCGCTGCCATATATATATATAAATTCATGCCGGGCAAGATGGCGGCGATACGGACGATGTGTTATTGCCAGTGGACATAAACAGGCATTTTATTCAAAATATACAACCGAGGCAGATTCATTCACACACTCGGTCGCATCGTGGGTGTGTTTACCGCGCAACGGGCGTCGACGTCTTTTTTATTCGGCGCGTTTCTCGGTTTTCTTTCTCACACAATGTTCACGTTGTAGCTCGCTCGCTAACCGACCAGCTGGCTAACAGAGAGCAGTCACTAGCTAGCTATCTATCACAGCCAAGCCGCCGTGAAGTGGAGAATGGGAGAAAAGCTGGAGCTCAAGCTCAAATCTCCGGTCGGAGCAGAACCCGCTGGTTATCCCTGGCCATTACCAGTATACGTGAGTGTTAAACCTTTAAAGTAACCGGGCACAGGTTTACATTTTGTCTTTGTTAGTTAGCTCTGTGCTAACACTGGCTAGCTGCAGGAACCATGGCACGCTCGTCCGGAGAATCAGGTCATACTGGTCGAGATGGTGACAGACATGTCGGTGTGTCGGCCAGCGGCGGCGACTCATCACACATTGAGCTTGTTTTGTGTTTGGGTATTTTTTTCAAACCTGTGCTAGCAGGAACTATTCTCAGAGTGTAGTTGGTAACACAGACACTACGGTACATTTGAGCAGAGTTACTTTAACGTTACTAGGTAGCGACAAGTTCAAACATTATTATTATTATTGACGCTTCAGCCGACGCTTAACATCCAGCATCATGTCGGCCTCACTGTAACTCACTTTCTGCCCAAAGTGTCTCGGTTATTATCTTTCATGTTCCTACTGAAAACAGTGGACCCAAGTTGTAGATAAATAGGTTGTACCTGTTTTCTCTGCTCGGATCCAGTAAACAATCAATGTAGAGACCAAGGTGTGTGTGTGTGTGTGTGTGGACTCTTTGAGCTCTGTGTTTATAGATGCTGAAGCATGTGAATGTCGCATTCCTCTAGTGCTTTCTGTGTTTAGTTATTTCATGACATCCCTGTGATTAGGACCAGCTGGTGGTGTTTGGTGGTTTACACACTATACATCCATCTGATCCCTGATCTGTCCATTCCAGAGCAGTAATAGTCGAGGTTGCCAAGAAAAGGGACTTATTTGACTTGTATTTCCACGCAGCGTGCTGTCAACACGTCATTGCATTTGACTCATTGAAATGAAACGGAAAGGGAAGCGGTTGAAAGTTTTGTGGTCTGTTCAATGGTGTATAAAGGTAACTTAAACTGTGTTTCTCATTTATAGTAACTGCGGTGAGACGGTCGGTGCTGACTGAAGAAAAGCTGAATTTCTTAGAATGTCTGAATGGGGTCTTTTCGGTATATCTCCTCTCAGCCCACACTGTACTTTCGTCTGGCAGTCAAGGAAGTTCCGTCATTTAGTTTGTTTATCCCCGCCATCACAATATGAACTTAATGAGTTTGAAGTCGCTGAGTTATTTGTTGATGTAATCAGCCTCGACTCTGTGCTGTGGCTGACACAGTTGACCCTCCCTCTACACCAAACCAGTGTGATAACACTCAGTTACACCCTCGAGGACTTACTGCCTCGTCCATTTCCCTATGTTGTGGTCTGTGAGGACAAACGCATGAGCAAGCATGTCAGGAATTTATACTGTTTGACTATACTGTTGACCTGCATGTTTAGCTATTTATACTGGGACTAGCAGTCGTGCATTGAATTAGAACCAGCTGATGGTCCTGCATGTGGAGTTCTGCAGTATGGAGCCTATTCATGCGGTGCTCTCCTCCTGTTATCAAAGGGGAAAAGACTTCCTCTCTTTTCCCCTCCTCATGTCCATATGGTCAACTCAACAGGGAGGCACATACAAGTGACTCCTATTCAGCAATGTTGCATTAATAGGTTTCAATAACACATGCCAGTATCTGTGCTCAAGTTGTTTTTGTTTTTTTTCCCAGTCACGTTTGGTGATGAGTATTTACCCTTGTTGAACTGCTTGCTGGTAGAAACAGATCCCACTCCATGTAGATTCATTCTTCACTCCCACAGAGCATTAAGATTGCTTATCTCACCCACAGAGCATGAACACAGCGTTGTCTGTGTTTTGATACACACACACAACATGGCTGTTGTACAGACTGTTGCAGTATAAAGGAGTGTTGCTCTACTCCAGAACCCAGAATGAAGCCCATAAAAACACATTTTTCTTTCTTTCATTTGCTCTGTGTTTCTCCCTGTCTCTCACTAAATCCCCACATCTGTGCATCTATAAATGCTTCCATATGAAGAGTACCTCTGGTGTGGTGCAGCTCTTTGTCCATCTGGTTCTGGGTGTGGGTACTAGCCAGGCCTACATAGCATTTAAAGACACGCTGCTTCTCAAATACTGCTGAATGTTTTTGGTTTGGTGCTCACCTGAGTACTTGGCCTATTATTTCCAAGGCTGCTCTTAGCTCCTTGAAATCAGGTCTCATTGCAGCACTGAAATGGAAAAACAAAAGGCAACTGTCATGCTGCTGTGCTTATGGAAGTAACTTTATGCACCACATTTCTATGTTGGAGCCTGGCAGCCAGCCAGTGCAGGTCAGTTGAATAGCAGACACTCTGTGTCGTCAAGTGTCGTCTAAGTTAAACAAATGAATGTCTAAACGGCTCCTGTGGGTGGCAGTATGTATGTAATCACCACATAAAGAGTGTTTCACAAATGAAAAGACATAAGAGAGAAGCTAGGTCCTGTTTTATATATCCAGTTAGTTAGTTGCCACCAAGAGAATTAGTTTTCTAACACTTCTGTTTCGCAGTAAGCAAAAGTAGTACATGGGTGTAAGTGGCACGCCTGCCTTAGTCATTTGTTCTCGTGGGCTGCTGAGCTATACGTAGTGGAGCAGGGTGTAGCGTAAAACCCCTACACCCACGATGTGTCACACTGATGTTAGAAGAGATTGACCAAAGAGGTGGTGTAGAGAGGAGGAGTCGTGCATGCGTCAGTATACCCACGGTGGGGAGAGAGGAGGGTCTCCTGTTCTTTTTGTCTGACTCTCGCTTTCAGCCTGTGTTTATTTTTAGCAGCAGCCCTGTGCTGGTGTTGCTGTGTGCCGTCTTTGTGCGAGCAGGTGACCTCCCCCCATTCGGCATCTCATTCGCTCGCTCACACAGTCTCTTTCATGCCCTCACACCTCGTCTACCTTGCTTATTCAGGGGAACACAGTGTTTTCAAATCTGTTGTGCCCATGTGTGTCGAAGAAGCTGTTTATTAGCACCACAGCTAGCAGCTAGCTTGATAATATAGCTGTAACCGGAACATTGTGCCGACAGAAGAAGTAGGAGATTTCCTGTGTTACCATGCATATTTGAGTGTGTGCGCATGCATGTTTGAGTTTTGGCGGAAGTTTGCGTAGTAGTGGCGGGCAGTATTGAGCGGGAAGCCGGGAGCTCCAGGCTGTGAGCTGTTAGCAGCGGCTGCTGTGCCAGGCCTCAAACAGCTGACAAATACCAGCCCCCCCCCTCTCTCTGGCCCCCTCACTTTCCCCTGTGTCTAGGTCTTCTTGCTTTCACTTTCTTTCCTTTTTCCCCTCTGATTTCTCCTCCTCTCTTACTTTCCCTCTCTTCTTTTCCTCCACCAGAGGCTCTCCTTGGCAGTGTGCTGGAGCAGGAGACAGAAAGTGGGTCAGTGGGTCAGCTCAGGCAACAGGCTCAGGCTGGCTGCACTCTGGGTGTAACATGAGCCCTATTACTCCCACAGAGCCGCTCAGCACTCTCCAGCTAAGATTACTAACTATAGATTCCCTGCACGGGATCAATATAATTCAACTTATCAAGCTTTTTTTCTAGACTAAAGTGCATTTCTAACCTGATTTACCTGAATTGGCTTTCTCAGGCAGGGTTCGGAATAGTCTGATTAAACTGAATCTTTCATTACCTTAACCGTTGTTAACCTGAATGAAGTTTACAGTTACTCCAGATTAAATTAAACTTTAGATTAAATATAAAAAGTTTTTTTTTTTTAAAGGATAAAAAGGTTTAATTTGAGATGAATGCTGCCTGTCAATAGAGACACATGATTTATGTGACAAACAACCACTACAAGACAGACTACTGCCCGGACACTGTCAATAAGAGAGACATTATTTCACTGCTGTAGTGCCTTCAGATTCCACCACATTAGGGACTTTTTCTGTGTTCGTAAACTGACTCCAAAGTTAAGAAGTCACCAATCCAATTTAAGATAGGTCTCATAAAGCCACTTTAAAACCACAATGATTGTAGTTTAAGGCACAGTTGGGTTTGCACCCAAACTGAAAACCTGTACTGAAACCCTAATGCAGTCAGTCATTTATTTTATTCTGAAATTCAGGTATATCTGAGTGTTGTGTCTACATACCTCTGCTTTGATACAAACTGACAACTCTATGAATGTACAGGCTTATATAATAGACTGAATGCTTCATTCACAGTGTAGTATGTGTTGTAAACATTGACAGAGTTCCTGTGTAGTATAAACAGCATTCAGTGACAGTGTGTCTGCTGTTATATGTCAGAGAGGAGAATCAGATCAACATTTCTTTTTATTTGTGACATTTCTCTCTATCATAGCAGTAGATTTCAAGATGACATTTGTATTTTAAAGATGCTAAAGTGGTAAACTTCAATGACATACACCTTGATTGCAAAAACAATTGAATGATGCAGACAGATGTGCATGGTAGTGGTAGTCTTTATTGTCTGTATTGTGCTACCTGGCTTGTCGAGTTCCGCATATTTTAAGGAAACACTGTTTGAACCATATATGCCCTCTTGCCAATTTATTAGATACACAGATCTTAAACCAATGCAGTGTAATAAAACAGTTCTGCAATAAATTCTACCGCCATTAAAGGCTATAATGTTCAGTTTCTGTTGGGACTGTTTTTGAGAGGTGATGATTGAACTTGATGGTGGATTTGGAGGCTGTAGTTTGTGGTGAACGTTTGAATTGAATGTGTCATACTGCTCGCTGTTGAACATGTTATTCCCCCTCTCTGTTGTCAGGATAAACACCATGATGCTGCTCATGAAATCATCGAGACCATTCGGTAAGTGACCTTTCCTCTCAGTGACTCAACTGCATACTCCCACATTCACACATACAGTAAGTGACTGTGTCAGGTGTATGATCTAGTGACGCTTTTATGTGTGTACTTTCTCTAGGTGGGTGTGTGAGGAGATCCCAGACCTCAAACTGGCGATGGAGAACTACGTACTCATTGACTACGACACCAAGAGGTGAGCCTAGGGTCAAAATCTGTTTATGTGATTGACACTGAAACAACAAACCAGAAAACATCATAAAAGGACTTTGAATATTATGAGATTTAAAAAAAACTTCTTGCAGGGTTAACACTTTAATCAAGGCAGGCAACCTGCCTGTGTGAAAATTTGTTTTTAATTTTTCAAAGATTAGTTTCTAAGGCCAAAAATGGAACTGAAAATACTCCATGTCACACTTGACACAAGATTGCAAGTGGAGTATTTCAGAGTTACATAAATAATGTTCTTTGGAAGTCAGTGGAAAATGGTCTGGCACGTGGGATTTTATCTTGTACAAAAAAAATGATGATGAATTTCTCTTTTTCTTCTCACAGCTTCGAGAGTATGCAGAGGCTTTGTGACAAGTACAACAGGGCTATCGACAGCATTCACCAGCTGGTGAGTCTGTGTAAGGGGGTTTTTAGACCTGTGTAGGTAAAGTGAATGTGAAAACAGTAGCAACAACACTGTAATGCTGTACTGTAGGTGTATTCACTTTAAGATCTTTAATAAGCGCAATTGCTATCTAGTCTAAAAATTCTCAAAAACACTTCTTCATAGATTTTGTTCAGAAGTCTGCATTAAAAAAAAAAAACATGTAGCATATTCTCTTGTCCCTCTCTTTGAAAGACCAGCATCAATTAGTAATGTCTACACTCTCATGCATGGAGCAATATGCCTTGATTGGAGTGGTTTTTGTGTCATTAAATATATAATCCCATCTTTCAGTGGAAGGGGACCACCCAGCCCATGAAGCTGAACAAGCGTCCTTCCAACGGGCTGCTGAGACACATCCTACAGCAGGTGTACAACCACTCAGTGACAGACCCGGAGAAGCTGAACAACTATGAGCCCTTCTCCCCTGAGGTGTACGGAGAGACCTCTTTCGACCTGGTTTCTCAGATCATCGACGAGATGGAAATGATGGAAGATGACACCTTTGTTGACCTCGGCAGTGGTTAGTCCGCTGTTATTTTGGGACGTTCAGGTTTCAGAAAGAATTGATCCAACAAAGCTTTTACATAACACCATTTCTGCTCTTCGAAGCCAAATGACCGAGTAGGGATGGGGACAAAAAGCCCCCAAAAAGTCAGATATGTAATTGTTTATATTTTACTAATTGGGGAGTGGGAAGAGTTTTTTTATAAACAAATGAGAAAGAATTAATGTTTGATTTCTTTTTTTAAAGAACAATGATGATGTTTAGAGTTGTGGAGAAGGACAGGATGAGAGAAAAAAGTGGTTTTCAACATAACTGTCAAGTTAAAAATAAAGTGTCTTTGACTATCTGGTGTAAAACATAAACCTATTGTTTTTTATTTTCAGGAGTGGGGCAGGTAGTGCTGCAAGTTGCAGCAGCAACCAACTGTAAACACTACTACGGTGTAGAGAAAGCAGACATTCCAGCTACCTATGCAGAGGTAACTACATGCATATCTGGCAGAACAAGAGGAGTATTCCAGAAAAGGAGCATAGAAAGAGTGTCTCCATTCAGACAGATGTTGCTGTGTGAAAAGCCACTGCTTCCTCAGGCACTGTAGTGAACGCAGTGAGATTGCCACTGCACACAGCTCTGGTGAACACACAGTAGTCTGGCAAAATAGTTTTTCCAAAGTTGATTTTCCAGTTCACATTTCATTACCCTGTAATAACACACACACACACACCTGCACGGACGCTTGCACTATGCCAAGGTGCTATTCTTAGTCTAAATGTGTCCTGACTTCAGTTAATCTAACCAGCTGCAAATAAACTCAAAAGCTCAACATTCGTTATTATAGTGAAGGACACAGGCTTTTAGTCATGCTGGTGTCTGTGAACCCTGAACACAATATCCGGAATTTCACTAAAGAGCTCTTGTTAACTCACTAATCCTCCTTCCTGAAAATGCCTCTGAAGCACACACATCCTGTGCTGATAGCTGTTTTTTATTTTTATTTTTTTACTTTTAGTAATATTTTGTTTTGGATATTAATATTCAGATTCTATCTTTCAGTCCATGGATAAAGAGTTTAAAAAGTGGATGAAATGGTATGGGAAGAAACATGGGGAGTACACAGTAGGTTGAGTCTTATTTACTCTTAATGCACAATTTGAATATTGGGTGTTCTGCAGATCCACATGTATTCAGGATTTTTACCCCTCTGTTTCTTTCAGCTGGAGAGAGGTGACTTTCTGTCTGAAGAATGGAAGGAACGGATCGCCAACACAAGGTGGTATATTAACCCTGGTCCCAGTAACAATTTTCATTTATTTCCAGACCATTTATAAACTTAATTTATACATCGAGGGACTAAACACATTAAAAAATGCTGTATATTGTAAAGCGGTCTAATATGTGGCATATTATTGAGGAAAGGGTCAGTCAGTATAATAAATACTAACATTATTTTAATTGCTTTTAACACTGTGTTCAATGTGTAGGTCTTCTATATGAACGATTTATGAGAAAGTTAACAATCCTTTTATTAAACGTGTCCTCAGAACTTTGCTTAAAACATATTCCCCTCTCAAAACTTGACTTTCAAGGTAAAGCCTTTTTTACTACAAACTGTAGTTCTAAAATGTTTTTTTTTTGTCTATCTTACAGTATTATTTTTGTGAATAACTTTGCCTTTGGTCCAGAAGTAGATCACCAGCTGAAGGAGCGCTTTGCTAACATGAAGGAAGGTTAGTGTTTTTCATCCAACTTCTACATTGTTTTGGCAACTAATTGTGGCCTATAGCCACAGGCATCCCAAGTGTTCCCAAAAAGAGCTGCAGTATATTAACTTTAAAGTACAGAAATACACACACACACTCATATACATACAAGGGTTTACATTCTAGAGAGTGAAAACAATGGTCAGGATCAAAATGGTCAAATTATATGTTCTTTTATTAGTAAATTCTTTTTCAATATATTAAATAATCACTCATGAGTGGTCAGCAGCTGTCAATAATACATTAATATAATTAATTGTAATGCAAAATTGGCCGACTGCCAGTGGGCCATGGTGTGGCAGCCTTTGAGGCACCACATTAATGAAATGCAAGGCAACTTTTTCTAAAATGGGATGTAACATTAGGCAGATATGGGATTATTTTGCCATTTGAGCCTCACTTTGTCATTTAGGCTTAAAACATGAGTGGATTTACAAATGAAAAGTCTTGCCAACATACTTCTGATGATGCATCATGTCCAACCGTAAGAACAGTCAGTAAAAACTGGTTTGATTTAAGGTTATTTATGATGGAAAGTAGTTTTAGTACATTTTAGGGGATACTTAAACGATAATAACATACACATTTCAAAAACCTCCTGTAACTTCAAGCATTTTCTAATGAGATGCAAGTATGGGATTCTTATTCCTTTAACCCCCACAGTGTGCCATGTGTTAATTTGTCATTTAAAATGTCATTGTTTGACTTGTATGGCAGAGCATATGGTTGATGAGCCTCAAACAAAGTGAGACCTTTTATGAGGCATCAGGAGTAAACTGATCAAAGGTCAACAAATAAGGCTTTTAAATAGATGGTGCTGATAGAAAACATCAAGGTTTGGCGTTAGTAGCACTGGGAGCGACGCCTTGGCTCACTGGAAAATAAATATTTATTCAGCTGTTCTCATTGGTGATTAAAATAACAATGGCTGATTGTATCCAGTAGCCACTGTGTCAACTTTTGGCACTTGACCTTTGAACTCACAGCTGCACATCACTGCTTGACTCTGTTTTGACAATAAGATGAATGTATCTATGGATTACCGCCTCCAATTTGGAATTGATTCTATTTCATATTGTGTAGTGAGCCATACTAGCTACTGTATAGATCTTGAATTTATCAGAAGAAAATGCATTTATTAATTTTGTTTATTTGTTGTTTTTTTGTTTCCAGGTGGGAAAATTGTATCCTCCAAACCTTTTGCACCTTTAAATTTTAGAATAAACAGTCGAAACTTGAGTGGTAAGTACAATAATTAGTGAAAAAGCAGATTTCAGTGTCTCATGCTTCCTTAGATTTGCATCTGACATGTTATTCCTCTCTGTCCCACAGATATTGGCACAATAATGCGTGTGGTGGAGCTTTCTCCACTCAGGGGCTCTGTGTCCTGGACTGGAAAGCCAGTTTCCTACTACCTGCATACCATAGACCGCACCATAGTAAGCACTAAAGGTCTTGGAGAAGGACCCGAATGCAGAGAGTACAATTTCTATTAGAGGAGAGCTTGACAAGCAGTACAAACACATTATACATTAGAGACAAACAGTAACCTAAACTCAAGAGATAGGTTGCTATAATAACAGCTGGTGTTGTGTTAATGAGTAGTCAGTCCCAGGAGTAAACAATCTGAGGAGGGTTATACAGGGTAACACGTGCATTAGATAACATTGATATATGTGTCACTCTGGTAATTGGTTAAAATAATCCCTGGTTACCAGTGGGAATCCCAGTGAGAGAGCTGGCAGGCTGCCTAAAAGTGCTGATGATCTTGTTCTGTGTTACCATCTGAATTGGATGTGGCTGCTCTCTCATCACTCTAAATGATTTGTGGCATATTCATATCTGAGGGTGGGTGGTGTAACATGGTATGAAGAATGGTACTACAGTAAATGTAGTGTACATGCTCTATATATGGATTTGACTTTTTAGAAGATGATTTAGAGGATGGTTAAGCAAGGTTGGGTGAGTAAAGGCAAATCAAGTTCAAAGAGCAAGCAGTGACAAAGGGTGACTAATCAAAAGCTGATCACAACCATAGACCTCATGCATGTAGGCTTTGTACCTGCGTTAATGCAAATGACTGATTCTCGGCATTAATTATCTAAATATCACAGAAAGGGGAAAAAAACAATGAGCTGTCATTTTCAGTAAAAACTTTGAGTCAGTCATTTTTAGGTATAATGAGAGGTATGACATTCCTGCAATCAGGTTACAACCACAAGTGTGGAATAACAAGATATTTAAAGTAGATTTAAACACCATGATTGTTTTAAATTGGGTGGAATGTAAATTCTTGTAAAAGTATAGAAAATAATATTCTAATATCCACATCCACATTATTGTCTTGTCTTTCAGCTTGAAAACTATTTTGCTAGTCTCAAAAATCCTAAACTCAGGGTAAGTCATTTTCTTCCTCTTTAGTGTATCAACAATGTCACTGTACTCACTATATTTTGTGTGTCAAAGTATTAAATGTATGTGTAAAAAACTTAATCTTATGTTAGGAAGAGCAAGAGGCAGCTAGGCGACGTCAGCAGAAGGATACGAAGGACAGTAAAAGCAATAGCACCACGCCCACAAAACCGAAAGAACAAAACAAGGTAGGACATGCCCGGATTTATAAAACTATGCAGGAAGCGTTTCCCAGGGGATTGAATATTAATCAACTTTAAGTGCTGCTTTTAAGTTTTGCTATATTGTCTGCCATTTTGCTACTGAAATGTTTCTCTCTTGGCTTATAGTTACTTTGACTTAACGTTTTACGTACACGTGTTTGTCCGTGCGTATTACAGCAGGACTCCTGTGGTGAGGAGGAGCGTCCTAGCTTGGTGACAGTGGTCAAGCCTTCTGCCAAACCCCGAAGAGCCCGCCTCCTCTCAAAAGGTCGCAAGTTGAACAACAAGAAACGTGGTCGACCCAAGAAAGCTGCCCCGGCTGCTGAGAAGAAAAACAAGAAAAATCAGAGTGCTTTGGATTTGCTGCACGCAAAGACCCTTTCTGCAGCACCCCCTCAGGGTCAGTGGACACACACACACACACACACACACAATATGTTAGATATTATCTTCAGGCTTAATAACAGTAGACATTTGCTTTTTCAAAAATCAATCTTAAGCTTACAGAAAACACTAATGTCCTCAGTTTAACATAAATATGCTTCTTGTGTGTACAGATGCATACCGGCCACCTCAGAGTCCGTTCTACCACCTACCTCCCAAGGTCCAGCACTATCCCCCTAGTCAACTGTTGTTGAGCCCGACTCCTCCTGGTCTGCAACAACTGCTTGGTGAGCTGATGAAGAATCTGTTATGCTCAAACTTCTTGTGAATATTATGCCAGACCTTGTTCAAATCAGTCTACAAAATATGGTTCATTTAATTAAAATTGATGATGTTATTGTTACATTTATGCTTCAATATGGGCAGATGATCTGGCCCAAATAACTTGATCTCTGTATCTACACTCTTAAATAATGTTCAAATATGTAAGATATTGTGGGGAGCAGAATTAGCAAATTAGTTTATTTGTTCTTAAACATTTAATCATCCTTAATATGGAATAAGACTGTATGTTATTCTGTTCAGCGTCTGGGCTCTCTTTCCCCAAAAACCTAACTAATAGTATATCCTCTGTGTTTGCTCTCTTGCTCCCTCTGCATCCCCAAACTACATTGTTTTTTCAGATAACATCAAAGTCCAATACCTCCAGTTTATGGCCCACATGAAGACTCCTCAGTACCGCTCCAACCTGCAGCAGCTTTTAGAGCAGGAGAAGGTAATCAGTAATTACAGACATGTAACACACTGATTTGATACTGCTGCAGTTTTTGTCGAACCTATTACTACCATATCATGCCAACACATATTAAGTGGCATGTATTCAAGTAAATGTTACCTGCCTTAAAAGTAATCTTTAATGATCTAACTGTCTTGTGTTTTGTTGCCCAACCTTACCTATATTTTTGTTTTTCTGTCTCTAGCAAAAACACAGGGACCTGTCGGGGCAAGCAGAGCAGCTTCACTCTGTCTGTCAGTCTCACAAGGTTAAGATCAAAGGTCTCTTTCAGACCAAACTAGATGAGGTGAGAACTGCTACTTTATTACCCACTAATCTTTTATGTCTCTCATTTGTGCTTTAACTGTTATTTTATTTTGAAGGAATTAGGTATACACAGAAATCATTTGCCTTGCCAAGTATATCATACAATTAGTGCTTAAATATAGCTATTTGACAACCCGAGCTGCTTATATCCCTTTGCATTTTTATCCCATTTGCAGATGAACATAGTTTAAACAGACAGTGAAACACAACTTGACTGCGAGAGAGACAGAGCATACATTTCCTGCAGTGCTGTGTTGTAGTTTGCATTAACTTAACATTAAGCTCCATTGGTTGAAGCTTCACATCTGTTGCACCTGAGACAAGCATAGCATCCCTGTTGGGTGTGGTCAGATATTTGCTTCGTCTAATTACACCCTACAGTTGTGTCAGGTTACAGTGATCACACCCTGGACACACATCAGTTTAATGCAGCAACCTCCAGTGGTTGAAGTTGTCCAACCACTGGAGGTCAGCAAAGTCAGGGTTTCACTGATGTTAAACTGGTCTGAGGGATTATGTGCTTGTTGTTGATATATGACTCTGTGCCTGTGTGTGTGTGTTGTGTGTGTGTGTGTTGTGTGTGTGTGTTGTGATGTTTGTGTGTGTGTGTGTCAGTTGGGAGTGAAAGCATTGACAGTGGAGGACCTGCTGCAGGCCCAGAAGGAGATTTCAGCCCACAATCGTCAGCTGAAAGAGCAGACAAAGCAGCTTGAGAGAGACATGGCCTTGCTGAGAGACCACAGCCTGCTACTGGTGAGACATCAGGGCTTGCTACCATGTTGTTGTAACCTTCCCCTTTTACTGCAGCATTATCACCCGTGGTTCACACCTGTTGCCCTTCGTGCTTCTCTGCATTTGTGTAATGGTGGTTGAAGCCCTAGTTCGGCTCTAGTTTGTATAACACCACCTTGCCCTTAAAGCCAGTGTTGACTTTTATTTCACTTGCTAGAGCATCGTCCAAGCAAACAAATGAAGGAAAGTGTGTATGTTTGTTGTTTTCCAGCTGAAGTCCCGATGTGAGGAACTAAAGCTAGACTGGGGCTCTTTGTGTCTGGAGAGTTTGTTGAAGGAGAAGCAGGCACTACGTAGACAAATCTCTGAGAAACAGAGACACTGCTTGGAGCTGCAGGTACACAGTCCACCTCGTCAATTTGTTTGATTCTTTTCCAAATGCTTGTATCTTTCTTCCACCTCTTGCATACTCCTCCAAACGTACTTTGTACTCTGGCTTCTTCTTCCGTCCTGCCGCCCCCTTTCATCTGTCTCACGAGCTCTTCAGAGATGTTCAGAGGAATTAGTCTTGTCACCTAAACTATAAATAAAATGTAGCTTTCAGGAACAGTTGATGAATTGCTGTCACAAACATTTTCCTAGACGTTTCAGCATTGTTACCGTTTTCTTGTGTAACGGCTCCCCCTGGTGTCTGTTTGTAGATCAGCATTGTGGAGCTGGAGAAAAGTCAAAGGCAGCAGGAGCTGCTTCAGCTCAAATCCTACAGCCCCTGTGATGGCTCCCCATACAGAAAGAGCCTGGAATCGCGCTCTTCCACAGACATGGACTCTTCTAAGCTTGGCCTGTCCTCAGCCCCAGCCCTCAATGGTGTCAGCCCAGAGCTGTCTATCAATGGCACCAGCTCACCCTGTTTTGACCGGGCCAACACCAAGGGGGAGCTTCTTTCTCGCTACCTGCCCATCTCCCCGGACCATGAAATTGTACCCGCCACCCCTGATGCCCGGCAGAGGCAGCAAAGTTCCTCCTACGCTCTTCCTGATTACACACGCTTCTCCCCTGCCAAGATTGCCTTGCGGAGGCATCTTAACCAAGACCCCACTGCCTCGGCTCACTTGAGAGGTCCAGGGCTGACCGCACACAGGTTGGTTGGCACTAAATGCTCCCAATTTTCAATATGAACAATATTATGTTTATATTTTTGTCTCCAAGTGGCTCCCTAAGGCACATACAGCTAAGTAGTTGCAACTAAATTAGCCTGTTTTTGTTTGTTTTTTTAGGGAATTGGGTGCTGTTAACTCTCCACTTGGAGTCAAACAGAACTGCCCCTCTCCAAATGCATCTGATGCCCAGAATACTCCTAAAAGTTCTGAGAGGGTAAATGTTTGTCCTTCTTTGCTGCGCTTACACTGTTGATCCATCTGTAAGCATACAGTTTTCTACATTCCTTGCAGTATTTGGCTCTCACTGTTAACACGCATTAATTTTCCCTTTGCTCTCTTCTATAGGGTGGGAAGGAGAGGAGCCCGTCTGTTCAAGGTGACAACAGCATTACCAGCCTTCCAATAAGTATCCCTCTGAGCACTGTCCACCCAAGTAAATTACCAGTCAGCATCCCTCTGGCCAGCGTGGTGTTGCCCAGTCGTGCTGAGAGACTGGTGAGTACAATGACAGTAACTACATTACCATACGACACTGATGTACCTCTACATCTACCTGCTCCAGATGTAATAAATGAAATGTCTTGTGAAGAGTTATATTGGTGTGTACACAAGTAAGATGGGTTATGTTGGATCATTTTGTTGTTGTTACACTGTGATATACAGGCTGTGACAAATTAAAGGAAAAACATGAATAAATGAGTTGAGAAACATAATGAATGCACTATACAACTAGTTTACCTTCAAATAACAGCTTCAACATTGTTTTGGTGGTACACTCAGATAGATAATGGTGCCTCTTCCGTTCCCAGTCTAAGCCTAAGTGCGGAAGAACACTTTACGGCACTACGTCACATACCACCAACTGATTTCAGTGAATTTTGATGGACAGATTGCTAAAGTAGCTGTTACTTTACTGCTGCTAATCATAGCTGCCGTTCAGCTCATTTAGCCATGAAACTAGCCGGCTGTGTCTGACAAGAGGGCGGACAAGAGTAAATATCGGACTGGCTTTTTGTCGTTAGCGAGAGCTTTGCGAAATAACAGCAAGACAGATGGCGAGCTCGCTTTTTTGCTGTTGGACTGGAAATTTGTTAAATATTGTGGTCGACAGCACACATTTGATGACTGTGATGCTCATGCATTATATGTATATGTATATGTATATAGGCATATTATATGTAAGGATAAACAAGCAACTCCTCAGGTGGCTGCCAAACGTGTTGGCAAGGAGAATCTGTCAACGATTACATAACGAGGGATATTATAGTAGGGTTGCTGTGCATAAACCCCTCAATACAAAGCATAATGCACATTTAAGAGTTCAGTGGTGCAGAAACAATAGGCGCCAGTCTACAGAAATATGGAAAAAAGTGATGGTGATGGTCAAATGAGTTACTGTTCACTATATTCCCAACAAGTGGGCGAGTGCATGTGTGAGAGAACAGTACAGGCCAGAATGCTTGACCCCTACAGTGAGTGGATCTGGTGGTTCTGTTATTCTGTGAAGGAGTTTTTCTGGCATGGTTGGGGTACGCTTGGAGGGAATGGTCACTGCAAATCAAGGGGTCTCTTCCAGGATGATAATGCCCAACACCTTTGACCTATGGGAGAATTTTGATTGACGTGTTAGACAGCGCTGTCCACCACCCTCATCAAAACATCTAATGAGGGGATATCCTCTGGAAGAATGGCGTTCTATCTCCAGTAGAGTTCCAGAGTCTTGTAGAATCAATGCCGAGGCGCACTGAAGCTGTTCTGGCGACACATGCTGGCCCAACACCTTACTAAGACACTACATTCGTTTTTCCTTTAATATATCACTCGTCTGTGTTCTCTGCATTCATAATTTCAGAGAAGTACTCCGAGTCCTGTGTCTCAGGCAGGTCAGACCAACGGTAAGGATTACCCTTCAAACACTTGATATATTGTTTACATATTATATTCACTACTATTAAGATGGAATGATCTCTAACTTGTTATAGGTTTGATATTTGACTGTTTTCTTACTGTGCATCTTTAACCATCAATCATCAACGGTTTGGTCTCTGTTTAGGATATTCAGGTTTGATGAATGGAGGTCCCCATCCTGAGGACTATAACGGTGCTTCTTCATCACCTCCTCCACACAACAGCACTCTGTTGACAGGACCAATGGGCCGAGGAGGTCCCATTCAGAGCCCTCCGCTCGGCACTGGAGGGGTGCTCCAGTATGCAGATGGACCCCCAAGGATTCTTCCAGAAGATGGACAGGATCACCAGGGCGGTGAATCCGACGCGGAGCCCCAGGACAGTGAACTGCGGAGGAGAATCTTCTTCTCTTCTTCCTCCTCTTCATCCTCGTCTTCCTCTTCATCAGGCAGTGGAGGCAGCGCGGCCGGAGGATCACGCCTCCACCATCACACTGGCAACTCAGCCAAGCAGGGATACCACAGTAACCATGGAAACCACCACCACCAGTCCCCCGGCACCCAACACACTCACCCACCCACACATACGTCGTCATCACACTCCTCTCACAGCCTGGGCTCTCAAGAGGGACGTAAGCGGGGGAGAAGGAAGCGCAGCTCCACAGTGGCTACTGTCACGGCCAGCGGATCCCCAAAGAGGAGGTCATTCCCCGGGCTCAGCTCCAACAACCACTCCTCAGGATCACCACTCAACATTAACTCCATGGTGAGTCACCAAAAGCATGAAGAGAGAAAATTGTCAGGAACCTCATATGACATGAAATTGATTTTTAAGGTTCCATTATGCAATATATTGAGTTTTAATGAAGTCGTGTATTTGAATAATCAGACCTTACAGACTTGTGTCTGATGAGCTCAGTCTGTCAACAATGCATCTTTGGTGCGTTAGATTTCTCTGTGGATGAGTGCAATGAGATTACGCTGTCACATTATTTCAGACTTGTTTTTATTGGTGTCATCAGGGTGCAATCTGCGGGTCCTTCTTCTCCCAACAGGTGAGCAACATCAACCAGCCTCTGGAGATCTCTGCCATCTCCTCCCCAGAACAGTCAAGCCGCAGCCCCAATGGACCTGACTTGGACCAGCCCCCCGTCTTGAAGAGAGAGCGCCCCCTGGAGCTCAATGGCACAGGTCGTTATTCCTCAGCCCCCAGCTCTGATGACGAGGACTCAGGATACCCTGCCGACAGCTCCAGTTCGCGGTAATATAGTCATTGTAATGTGAAGTTGAAGGTAACAACAATGTAACAGCCGAGCTGCCCTTTTTGCAAGCTTTGCAGGTCTCCATTACAGATTTAATAGGGCTCATGCACATTTTGTTGCAAACTTGTCACTGTGTTTGTTTTGATCGTTCGTGGTTCTTTTTCTCCAGAATTGAAAGAAAAATCGCCACTATATCCTTGGAGAGCAGAGATGGACCTGGTAGACTAGGGGACGGTGAAAGAGGTAAGAAAAGAAAATGTCACTTGTTAAAATAGAAACTTTATCCTGCACTTGTTCTACTCAACACAAAACCGTGTTTCTTTTTTCGTCCACTAGGCAGGAAATCTGGTAGCAGCAGTGGTAACAGCACAGGCAGCGAGGCCTCCTCTTCGTCCTCCTTGTCCTCTAACAGCAAGTGGAAATCCACCTTTTCGCCAATTTCCGACCCCAAACAACCCAACTCTGATCTGAGACAGGGGGGTTCTCCATTTGGCATGGGGGGGTCAAGCCGGGGCACAGACTCAGATTCTGACCACAAACAACAGCATCAGCAGGTGAGGAAAGGGAGTGATGGAGAGTGTTCCAGCTACATGACCGCCAACCCCTTCCTCAGTCAGGAGTCAGGGACCCGGGGTGGAGGTAGCGGCGGTGGTGGTGGTGCCCAGGGAGGCAGTGGTTCAGACCAACGCCAGGCCCTTCAGAAGCAGAAGGCCCCTCGTGACTGGGAGATGAAGACGAGCAGCAGCATGGCCAGTCAGAACCTCTTCATATCTGCCGCTGCCAGCAGTGGAGGGGGCATACTGAGTGGGAAGGTGGGAGGCAGTCCTGTAGCAGTTTCCTCAACCACAGGGTCTGTGGGACAGTACCTGGGGTCTCAGTTTCCACTTGGCGGGACCTCAGTGTTACAGTCCTTATTCGGAGCCCAAACCGGCGGATCCACGGTGAGTGGGACCCCGCGGCTCGTCAACGGACACTCTGCCCTGGGAAGCTTCTCCAGTGCTGGGCTGGCAGGGGGAGCAGCTGGAGGTGAGCATCACTAATAGATCATGTTGAGTTTTACCTTGGGGTCGTTATACAGCCTAGTGTGAGGTCGTTGTCTTAGCCTGGGGTCATGTTGATAAAGTAATAGAGCCAGTCTGAGGGAATGGGCCTGATAATAGAGCCAGGTAAGTGGAGGTCCAATGCTGCTGTCTTTCTGTCTGCCTCGCTTTGACATGGACTGGCTGCTTGAGTGCTGCAGTTGGAAACACCCTTAGAAAATGTTGAGTTTTAGCAGAATGAATATAGAGAATAAAAAAAAAAAAAAAATCAGTGATCAGTCTTCGAAATATGTGATTGACCATGAGTGAAGAACATGTTTTATATTATAACTATTACATTACAATGTTATCATTTTCTGTGGGTGTATCTGTTTGAGTTGTATGTCAGAGTCACTTCACTTGTAAGCAAAAATCTACCCAGAAATCAGTTTTGCTGTAATAAGAACTGTTTTAGTGCCATCCTAAATTGGCCACGCTGATTTGGTTAGTCACAGTGGACTGACTCTGTTTGCTTTCTGTGTGCTTGTCAAAGACTTGCTTGCCGCTATGCACAACCTGGCTCAGTCCTTGCTTCTCTCTTTGTCCCCCTCCCTCTCGCTCTCTTTGCCACTTGTATCTGCTCTCTCTTCCCTCTGTCTCCACTCTCTCGCCCTCCCCCTCCCCCTCCTTCCATTTCTGCTGTATGATTTGCAGGTATTTTTCACCACGTGGTCCCCACAGTGTCCTCCCATCAGTTTGGGGTGACGCTGCCCACCTCTGGAGGCCTCAGCTCTCTGCTCAGTCTCTCCTCCTCTTCCTCTACCTCCTCCCAAACCCAGCAGCACACCACTCCCCAACCAGCCTCCACGCGCCTGGCCTCCGTGTCCTCACCGCTCCCCCTCTCCCTGTCCCAGGCTCAGCACAGCCGCATCCAGTCGGTCCTGCATAGCGCTTCTCCTCCCACGCTCTCCCTGCCCCCTCCTCCACCCCTGCACAGCGTCCCCTCCTCCTCAACACCCACGCACTCTGACGTCCCGCCATCCTCTCGATCTGACTCCCTCCACTCCTCCCGTCTGGCCCATTCCTCTCTCCACCACCAGAGAGCACAGTCATCCCTCTCTCTCAACATCTCCTCCTCCACCTCTGCCTCCTCTGCCTCTGTCTGTGCTGCTGCCGCTACTGCTTCCCTCTCCTCCTCTCTGTCAACCTCCTCCTCGTCTCGTCCATTCGCAGTGCACTATTCCCCTCGGCTGCCCCCTCCACCACCGGCCAGCAGCTCAGGTGGTGGCGGGAGCATCTGGAGGACTCAGGGCATGCATGGTACCTACACCACCTCCCAGCTCCCTGGCTCCCGACCTAGATAGGGTTTGGGGGTGAGGGGAAGTGGGGGAGGGAGGATGGAGAGGAGAAGGGCAAAGGGCAATCAGAGGGTGGAAAGAGGGAGAGAATGAGAGAGAGAGAGAGAGAGAGAGACTGGTAGGGAGTGAGAGACAGGATACCTGTTTTCCTTGTGCTCCCACAAGCTGTTGTTCTTCTTGAACAAGGTAAGTAAATTCTTAGATTTAAAGTATAAACACCGTGCTCGATGATACGTTTTTGAGTGACAGGATGTATTATCGTGGTGGCTTTTTTTTGTGTATTGCCACGTAGAATCTGCCGGCCACTGAATCACTTATGCTGTCCTTTTGTTTCCTTTTGGTGTTTCAGGTAATTGATGAAAACTACCTCAACATTAAATAAACTATGCAAATGTCCAGGTGTGGACCAAGGCACTCTCCTCACTCACTGGTGCTTCGAAACGTCTGCACTACCCAACCGCCTCCAAGACCGGCTTCTGTACTGGGATCTCTGAAACACACACACTCACACACTCACACACTCACACACTCACACACTCACACACTCACACACTCACACACACACACACTCACACTCTCACAGCTCCTCCCTCG